AGAGCCTGGTATCAGTTATCAACATTTTCATTTGATCTTTGTGAATGTAAACTAATGCATAGAGTTGTTGAATCAAAATTAACTCACTAAGACATTCATTTTTACATGGGAGGACTTTATGTAAAGTATCATAGGCACATAGAAACAACCTTTTGCAGCTTGCCGCTCTCTCTTTCTCCCTCTCTCTTTGACTGTCCCTTCACTTCCTTGTTTGTTTCCCTTCTGTCTGTGGATCGCAGAGATCTGGTGACAGTGCAAAGCCACGTCATCTGTGACGCTGTCAAGTTTCTGATTCTAAATGCACAGCAACCTGGCGGCATGTTTAGAGAAGTTGGAATTGTGTAACATGGAGAGATGATGGTGCGTGCACTCATTTCAGTAACAGTTCTGCTACTACACAAAAACAATAAAAAACACACACTTCCATATGTTTTTGTCCGTGTGCTGGGTGATGTGTGTGGCTTAGAATCACATGCCTCCCTGACGGCCTTCTGCCTCATTGCCATGAACGATGAGCATGCAGTCACGCACGATTTGTGCTGCCAGTATTACTGTGAGTAACCGACCTGCATACATTGTTTTCTTTTCTGCCCTCTCTTTATTCCATCCTTTACTCATTCCTGCCCCGCAATCATCATACAATTTTGATTATTAAAATTTTGAAATACCTCTCAGATTTTCTTCAGTCAGCCAAAGCTTTGGATGTGACTGGAAATTCATTTGTGTCTTTACAGCATTGAAAAATTAAATTTTGGACATTTTAACACCCACATCTTTTCCAGAAACAGAGTCTGTTACTCTGGATAATCCACAGTCTTTTAGACAACTTTTGTTGTTTTTACTTTCAGCCATCACATGCTCCTGTTGATGGGTCAGCCAAAATCTGTACTAAGTAGAAGTACTGTTACATTACTAAAAATTTTACTCAACTTACGAGTAAAACTATTGGTGTTAAGAAATACTCTATTCTAGTAAAAGTTCAAAGTATTCTTCCCAAAACTACTGTAACTATAACTAGAGTATTACTTTTTAACCATTAGTAATCCGTTCATTATCAGTAGCAGGCATTCAATAAAAAGGGGAACTCCATGTAGAAAATATACTCGATAAACCAGTCAGCCAATTAATCAGGCGATTATCAGGCATTTTGAGATGATCGATGCTGCACTAATGAGGTTGATAAACAAGAAATGTCTAAGACACATCTGCAGACAGGCTTGTTAGCGTGGTTGCTTTGGAACGATGTGAGCACTCCTCGTGAGCTTTGGGATGGTGGTGAAAGTCTCAAGCATCCATCTGTAAGCCTAAATTTGTTTTATTTTTACACCAGTATTGGTTCGGAAAGTACAGACAATATCACAATGTGCACCCAATGTAATTGTATTTTTTTTAAATGTTTAAATGTTTTCAATCATAATACTTCCTAAAAGCCAAGGGTGTCGCCAGACAAGTTCTGAAATCTACAGCATAACCCATTGTGATTTTAGATTTCAATATAAAACAAACCCAGAAATAACACAGTTATACTTTACTCTTTCTTTGTTCTGCTCTTTAAATCGACCATCGAAAAACTCATATCAGTCGAGGACATTTCTGTGATCCATTCATACCTTTTATCAATTATCAAACTAATGTACAGATAAAGCAGAAAAGCTTTTAAACATGCATAGAAGTCAAGGGCCTTATCTGTCTCTATTTGGTTTCTGCTTATCTAAATCAAGTCCCTAAATTACACCAGTGCTGTTCTGGTCAGTGTGGTCACCTCTCCAAACCTTTTTTTCATGGTTTTCATTGGCCTACAGTGTGTTTTCATGCTGGATTTGCTCTAGATGGGCAAACAAAACAGAACTGATGGCGAAACGATTGCTGCCGATTGCAACATCTACTACATCTACATCTAAATGCAGATGAATGGTTTCTATAGACAAACTTGTTCAAGTAGTACCCAAAAAACAGCTAAATTACAATAAAGTGAAGAGTTCTAAGTTGTTTTTTTCTAACCCTGGTCAGCAGTGATGTTCAGAAGACTGCCTGCCTGCCTGTACTCATATGGGTACAAAAGACAGCAGTTACCTGGGTGATGGGAGACTTAGCTGGAAGGACACATCATTCAGGACTGCGAACATCTAAATCTTTACTCTGTCTCCCTGCCACTCTCCAAGCCTCTGGATATGGTTCTCCCTCTTCATTAGCTGCCTTTTCCTTCTGTCCAGAGTCTGCAAGGTAGTATAGACAGAGCAGTGGCGTACCTGGAGATGCGTCTGCCCCGCCTCACCAACCCATATGCTGTTGCCATGACATCATATGCCCGGGCCAATGAAAACAAACTGAACCGGGAGATCCTGAACAACTTCGTATCCCCAGGTGTCCTCACACAATATTCCTAAACATGATCAGTTGTGTGTGTGTGTGTGTGGGTGTGTGTGTGCGAGTGTGTGTGTACCTTTTACAAATCACCTTACAGAGATAGACACACAGACTTGGGTCTTCAATGAAGAATGTCGTAAATACAGTATAATAAGAATAAGAATAAGAAGAATAAGAATAAGAATAAGAATAAGAAGGCCACAGCTTACGCTCTACTAGCTCTGGTCAAAGCTGAGGTGAGCACATCCCACTTAGGTGATTTAGTGTGTTTAACCACGCAAAAGAAACCATAGTTACTCAGTGTTACTGTGTTAAAGGTCCAGTGTGTAACATTTAGGAGGTTCGACTTCAACCTGTGGTCCTTTGCTGCATTTGCTAATTTAATGATAATTCACCCAGTAATCTTAAAGATTATTTACTCTGAAGCACGTATGTCAGAACTCTGTTTGTTGCTACTGGTAAAGTTCGAAGGTCACCAAAGTCATTAGGGTTCATCCTGTGGGGGCCATGAATGTGTGGCAAAAGTGTCATAGAAAGTAATCATGCACTTGAGTAATAATAAAATTAATTAATTAATAATTAATAATAAATAAGAACTTCTGTTAATAAAGGCCTTTGAAGAAGCCAGACCTCTTGTCAGATGGTTCAATCAACAGCAGAAGGTGGGCGGAGGCTATGGATCAACTCAGGTAACACAGAACTTTCTCTGTCTGGAAGCATTTGTGTGTCTAAATTAACATTCTTTTGTGCTGTTTTCCTTGCATTCAGCTTATATTAATATGGGTTCATGCTATTGTTTATGTCTCTCTCCAGGCTACCCTAATGGTGTACCAGGCTGTCGCTGAGTACTGGGTCAATGCCAAAGAACCAGAGTATTATCTGAATGTGGAAATCTTGTTGCCAGGCAGGTCAAAAGCTGAGATTTACAATTTTAACAGGGAAAACCACCACACCACGAGAACATCTAGAGTAAGTACGCACGTACACACACACACACACATATCAACACGCAGATCATCACCAAACCCTGACCGTGAGTCAAAAGGAAGTGAGGGGGGTGGAGATTTAATTTGACATGGCAACAGCTCAGGATTGACTGCCAGCTGGTTGTTAATGGCAATTAAACTGTTGACGACACTCAATTAAGCTTCAGTTGGACTAGTGGACCATGGCGAATTTTTGGAGATTACACAGGAAAGAATAGCTGCATGTTAATTTACATGCGAGTGTGAGATAAAGGGGCACATACTCAGTTATGGTGTCTCGGTCTGCGATGCCGCCCAGCACCATGCGCTGGATGATGGAGCCATGCTCCTCCTCCGACAGGCTGCGGTGGGACACGAGAGGGGTGGACAGCTTGGTGGCCGGGGACGGGTCGACACCTTGAAGCCACTTGTGGCCCTCGATCTCGTCTAGGGTCGCTCGTTTCTTGGGGTCCCTCTGCAGCATATGGGCTATAAGACTGGAGGGAGTCACACAGGGGATCAGGGTTATGGAGGAACTACAGAAATGTCAGTACTCTATCTGTGTTTAGATACACATATTCACAATGTTCCCTTAGTATTTGGGATAACTGCATCATGGCTATTATCTGGCATTTAGAAACATCACCAGGTCTTTTTGTTTTGCTTTGGGCATCCTCTGTATCAGCAGTAATAACATTGTACTCATCAAGTTAATTCCTGAAATCTAGGAAGATGGCATCACTCAAATAAATCAGACCAACATGAGCATTCAGACATTTGGACAGATTTTAAACAAACCCCTCAGATAGCCAGACTTATCTGGAAGAGAAAATGAAAGCGAATGGTAAAATTATTACCTAAACTGCCTGCTGTAAACATCCATCACAGATCACACAACAATTTCTGTTTGGACTTTGACCTACTGTACTTGCTGTAAATGTAAACGTGCAGTTTTCCTGGGATTTGGGACTATTACCAACATTTTGATGTGCTGACCTTTAGTTTGACCTTCAAATTCAGTGGTTTAGATAAACTGGCTAAACTGTTGGCTTGTTTACAACCTGTCTGATCGTCTGAATGCTCGTCTCTTGCTCCACCCACCCGGGTTCCAACAAACTCCAAATGATTCCAATCGCCATCCCGTACAGCTGTATTTATATGATTGGACATTAGTATTTAGGTGGCAGCCACACAGCTGATGAATGATTAATCACCTGACACAAGCCCAACTTGAGTGTCTGAACTAACTTGATGTTAAGTTATAATAAAGCAGAATGATCCTAGAGATAATACAGTAGACAAGCTATCCATCTTCAGCATTTATTCCGCAGTCTAGTTTATAGGTGTAGCATAACTAATTTTAGTGGGTGAATCATTCACACAAACTAGGAAAAAGTGCTGTTTCCTCAAGGCCACATGGGTTAGCAATTTTAGGGTTGAACACATGCACCAGGACGCGTGCCAATATTTAAAGTACTGTGTGCAACAAAAAACTAATGAAGTCATGTCCAAAAATAAAATGTGTTTTCAAAGCTGCAGCCATTCAAAATGTATTCAGCACCTATTTCGCCCTGCTCTGCCTTGACGCATCGTTAAACCCTCACAATGTTAAAAATAGAGGGCCGATTTTAAAGGGTGCATTAGATACACTTAACGCAGCACTGCATCTCTGGTGGAGCAGCTGACTGCAGCAAAGAGCGAAAAGCAGGACAACGAAGAGGCAGCAGAAGAGAGACCGCTCCTCTTTTCTTCACACATCTACAAACATGAAATATGCAGCACCTGCAGAGTACCCCGTCCATCTGTGTGGGTATGCACGCGTGCGTGTTACTCACTCTCGGCATGCATGGGAGATGTGCGGAGGCACTGTGTATTTGCAGTCCATGATCATAGTGAGCGTCTCGCTGTCGTTAGCCTCCTGGAAGGGGGGCTGGCCACAGACCAGCATGAAGAGGATCACCCCCAAACTCCAGATATCTGCAGAGACACAGAGAGAATGCTTTCAGTTACTAAAACACACTTTTGAGGCACATAACATGAGAATTAAGTGTGATTTTGTTTTTAAAGAGGACGGCCACAGATATGAAAACAAAAATGATGACAGACATATAGTGAAGCATATGTCCTTTCTGCTTAGTGACCTAGATATAAAAAAACAAAAGCTGCCTCCCTCCCAGTCCAAATGAAGCATAAATCATATTCGATCAGAGCCATTTCCATAAATACGTACAGGCTTAGGACACATCTGTCTAACCAAGGATGAGTCTCTGCACTGCTGCTGCTGCCGGCGTCATGCTCACACACACACACACACATGCATGCATGCACTCCCACACAAACACATAGTGCGAGGAAAGTGGGTTAATGTGTTCATCCCTTAAAGCTTCATACAAATGCTAATTTCATGGAACAGTTCTCTTGGTCCGATTATCCAGTTTAAAAGAGCAACTTTTTGCTCTGGGCATTCTGTGCCGCTCTGGTCAGCAGGATGGTCCACTGACACACATTCTGCAGTCATATACCGACTACGAGCAGAGAGACAGTAACATAAAAGCATACAGATTCCTAGTGAGTATGTTGACTTGACAGTGCCTTTCTTTAATTTTAAAGCTGCGTTAATTGTTTTTTTTTGGCCACTTGGGGGCAGCGGAACAGGCTGTAAACACAACACTGACGTATCAACTTGTAAACTTGTGGCCAACATGTTAGCAAACAGTTGCCTATTTACACGTCTAGAAGACACAACAGCCAACATTAGTATTAATTCAGAATCATGTTGCTAGCTATCTAGTTGCTAACTTTATGTAGCATTTGGTGCTAGGCAGGTGGTGGACAGCTGATTTAACAGAAACAATGAGCTCAAAGATGCTAAGAAGTCCTGTAAATTTTGAGGGGAGAGTGGGGTGATAATTCTCTGTGGGTTTGTCAGCATGAGCGACCGCTTTGACAGTAAACAGTCATTTGACTAATTGTTAATATAAAAATATTAGTGCAGCTTTAAAGTGCTTATCTTTGAGTCTTTTTACTGCCATTTTAGGTTTTAGGTGCCTAATGGTGTGTCACTATTTGATAAAACAAAGTGGTGTGTGACTTTTTCTCTCTAAATAATAAAACCAACCAGAAATGTAAAATACTTCCACTTCCTGTGCAGCAGATTACTTTTTATCAAAAGACAGAACAGCAGACGCAACAGTGACAACCTGAACAGAGCATGTGCTTGTGTAACTTACATCAGTTTGATACATTAAAGACTTATTCTATAAAACAGAGGTGGTAAACTGAGATTAAGTGGGTTTATCCTCCCCAACACCCCTTGTGATATGTCTTCACATTTCTTCATATCAGTGCAGTTTGAAAGGAAACGCTGGAGATTTCAATCTGGTGAAGTAAATGTGCCAGTTTACTGTGGGTGGCGAGTATTTATTGCTCTGAGGCTTGAAGGAGCGTCTCATACTGCTGATGGAGGGAGCAAACGCTGCTGCAGTCCCCACCACCATCTTACCCCTAGCCAACGTATCCTAGCAACCGTGACCCTTCTCCCTCATTACTCGCGTCAGCGGTCCGCCAAACTTCCTTCCTCGATAACTTTATTTATAAACCAGATGGCTGACACATCTCTGGATAACACCGTTCGCGTCACTGCACATTAGCATCACTTGAGCTAACAACGCCGGCTACTTACTGGCGACAGCTGGGAGTGTAAACATCCCTTTCTGCTGTCCTGCATTGCATTTTCACACCAATTGCTTCCCTGAGATAACCAACAACCACTCCCTTGTGTCTTGACACTGTTAACCCCGAGGCGGAGTGGGCCAAGTTCAGCATCCTGGCCTGCTGATCATTATGCAACATATTTTTTCTATAAAAAAAAAAAAACCTCTCACTTGTTCATTATGCACAGATATGCTCTGAATTATGCATGTGCCCAGGATATGTTCTTTGTAATTGCTATTAGGTAAGTTAATGTGCGGCTTGTGCTTCTTGAAGAGGAAGCAGAAATCTATATTTAAATTTCCATTTACTGGAGACAAAAAGGAAAGAGCCCACACACTGCATAACATCAAAAGGCAAAAGGAGGCAGGCATCTTTTCATATCAATTGTTAGTCCACCATCCGCTCCCGAAAGTGCACACAACATTTCCTTCAGATATTATGCATCAGAATGAAATTTCACATACTTTTGTTTGATTATTCTATTCTCAAAATTCATTTTATTCTGTCCCTCAGAGGCTGGAGGTTAGGTTAGGGTATTTTTCACCATTTCTTGACGGTTAATAGAGAAACAGATTAATCTATAATGAAAATAAGTGTTATTTGCAGCACTAGTCTTGATGCCTAAGCATGTGAGAGAATGAAGACGTTTTTCTGCTGGTAAAAGCACTTGACACCTTTAGATTAATAAATACATTTTGCTTTTCTTCTGCCTTTTTTCGCAGTTTAGGCATTCTGAGCCTCCTAATTGGCTCCTTCTGTAAGCTCTGTAGGCCTGACTACTGGTGTAACATTTCCCTCAAATTATTTTCAGCACTTCCTCAAAAGAGCAACGAACTCCAAACAGGCCCGATTTGAGAGAGCCGAGCGAGGACAGCCTCTTTATCTCCACAACAAACTGGGCTCGCCGCCACCTGGCAAGTCACCAGCAAAACTCAGCACCCTACAGACTGTCAGCAGGTACCTTGGCAGCGACGTAATCCCAGGCCAGGTTACCTCAAAGCCCCGGACTTCAGGACTGCTGGCCCCCACTCAGCCTGTTTCACATCAAACTGCACCACTGATAGAATCACACAATATTACATCCCGGCTGGGTGGATAATCCTCGCAATCAAAACATCATCATCTCAGCTGAATGAACAATAGTGCACGGTCGGCATGAACACTCCAGAGGACAGAACACACACACACACGCACACACAAGCTGAAAATGTCCACAAAGATCTGACTTGTCATCTGGGTCAAGTGCTCAGGCAGGCTTGTACAGGACAGCTGACCTCACGTACCCAGCCACTCACACGATCATCCAAAACCCACACATGCGGTCCAATAACAGAGGCTATTATTACTGCACTTTCAATAATTGGGAGAGGCTCATCTTCTTGGCACAAAAGAGGCTGAGATGAAGCGAAGGCAGACAGAAGAAAATAGCCACTGCAAATCCACTCAGTCAGAAAAACAGAGAATGCTTCTCTTTTGCTCTGACGCAGTGGCCTCTGGGTAGACAGAGGGACTGCTGATGCTCTCGCCCGCTCCTCTCCTTTCTCTTGTCACCCCCCCCCGACGCTTCTTTACCCAGCGAATCCGCACAACTGTTTCATTTCATTTCCATTACATTTTAATTTAATGTCTAAGCTGGATTGGCACCACTATCGATGGGACAGGCGACTGTGAGGCTGCTTGAGGTGTGTGTGTACGCTGCAACCACAGAAGAAGAGAAGGCTGAGGAAACCAATTTCAGCCCCGATCTGATATCAGATTTTATTATACACAGAAAGGCCATGACTGTCAATAAATGTCAACTGCAGACAAAAATAAACTGCAGGTGTGGGACTGCAATTCGGTGGATTAAGTCTCATTTCCAAACTGTCAGGTGGGCTAACACCTTCTGAACTTTGAGCAGCTCCTCGCCTTTCTATCAGCCGGCTGATAAAGTTGTCTGAGGGGGTCTATCCAAAGTACTGCAGGTCATATAGTGTGGTCAAAGTGCATGCAGAGCTATCAGTAGCTCATATCAGCAGATAGAGAGTGTGAATGTGAAAGCATCAGTCAACCAGGCTCATACAGTAGAGGACGGCCTGTACCGCGTTATGTGACCTGCGACACACACTGGACTCCGGACTGTGTCCCATACCAGTAAAGGTAACAGCTGTAATAATGATCTGACTCTGATCAATCCGCATCAGCGACGTAACCCAGAACTCACTCTCTGTCACTTGTTTGAACTCACCCACAGCAGGAGCATCGTACTCGTCCCCCAGCAGTATTTCGGGAGCAGAGTACGCCAGAGAGCCGCAGGAGGTGTTGAGCTTTTTCCCGGGCTGAAACCGGTTGCTGAAGCCGAAGTCGGTGAGCTTGACGACACCCTGCTTCTCGAAGAACACTACGTTCTCCGGCTTCAGGTCCCTGTGCACCACATGCAGCCGGTGGCAGTAGGAGATGGCGTGGACTATTTGGGCGAAGTAACACTTGGCCACCTTGTGGAGGAGGGGGCAGGAACGTTAGCAAGAGTAATGTATTTCGGTACAATACTGTGGCAGTTTGTTAGCCCATGAGACAGCAAACACAACCACCACAGAAAAACTCCATAGTGCTAACCAGCAACTAGCAAAACCTTTAGCAATGCAGTTTTAGACAATTTAAAGCAGTAGTTGGACAGTTGTGGAAATAAATATAATTGCTGTTTTGCTGAGATGAGAAGATTGACACCACTTTCATGTCCGTCCCTTAAATATGGAGCTACGACCAGCAGCTGATCCCAAAAAGAATTTTCATGCACATGCACTAATCTAAGTGCATATTAAGCATATTTGTACCACAAAACCAACATTGCACTGCTTATTGGCTACCTCACTGTATACCAGTAAGTGTACATAGAAAGTCAGCCACTATTGCCATTGCAGAGTTTGAGAATATCTCATCCCTTTTCCCTGCTTAACTTGTAATGTTTCAATGTCACACAGTTGCCTCCTGGTGTCTGGAATTTATTAACTTTAAAGAATCTGTATGCGCAACGCATTGGTGAGCTTCTAACTATCTTTGAACTGTCCTTCACTGCATTTCCACTAAACAGTCTCAAGAAAAAAAGAAAAAAAAACAGAACTTCATCCAAATTCTGTTCCCTAGAGACTTTATTTCAGTGACTCTCATCCATTTGCAGGAGAATTAATATTTATATTACTTTACTGGTCTCCTTTCTCGCTCGGTAGAGACTTCCTAAGTCAAGGACACTTCTACAGTTAGGATGATCTTTCATCTGCCAGCTGAAGCAGTCCATGCAACCTAATGGCCACTCCACTGCCCACAATCCCACCCACCTCCTCAGTGAGGCCTCCGTCGTGCTTCATGATGCAGTCGTACATGTCTCCTCCGTCTCCCAGCTCCAGGATGAGGTAGAGCTTGGTGGCCGTGTCGATGACCTCGTAGAGGCGCACCACGTTGGGATGCTGCACCATCTTCATGCATCGCACCTCCTGGAAAAGGTGCCCCCGCGCCACCGGGTCCAGCTTAGTCTTATCTATCACCTTCACTGCAACCTAGAGGAGCAGCATAATGAGAAAAAACAGCAGTGATGATACACATCTGTGCCAGTCTACAACTATCAGCAGCAACTTTCGCATACTGTACAGCCTGTTTGTACTTGTGGACTGAAGCAGCTAATTGCTGATGTGTACTGCAGATACTACAGACATTGTGATAGTAATCTAACAAAAACATTACAAGAATTTGTCTGGTTGGGAACACCTCTAGAAACAACATTAAAACCATCATGTGATGGTTCTAAAACATTAACAAAAGCCAAGATCTTGGCTTCATTTCATATCATTTCATTCATCTAACCTCAGAGACATTACTCAAAGTGTCACTAGTCACTCATCTTTGGTATGTCTGTCTCTCAGGGTGAGAATGAAATCTATTTGAAGCTATTTATATATGAGGAGATCTAATCACTGGCATCAGAGCGTTGCACTTTCATGTACAGGCATCGATCAGCCACGTACCTTTTCCCCAGTGAAAACGTGTCGGGCCAATTTGACCACAGCAAAGTGTCCACGGCCCAGCGTCTTGTCCAGGTCATACAGCCCGGCGATCTTCCCATCGTGATGACGTTTGAGCCCCGCCATGGCTGCACGTGGACTAGGACGAAGGAGCTGCCCTCTGTTGCCTGCTGGTCTCCGGTCAGTTCTCCATCTCCTCCTGAGTGGGTAGAAGTTAGCTGAGGTTTGTGGCGGTGGTTCGGTTGATGCTAGGCCAGCTGTGGGTCTCGTGAGGTAGCTTCAGGGGTTTGAAGGGAAGATCCCCTGCTGGATGGGAACGGCAAATATTTGCAGTGCTCCGCTCAATTCAATCCCATCTTCTCGTGATCTGAGGGTGAAAATGGTACGAGAGAGAGGAGGTCAAAATTCACCCTTTCATATTGACAACACGACACTTCAATGAATCAGTACAATAAACTGAGTCAGTGCTTTGGAGGAAGTCCTGCTAAATGCTGAGTCGTGAACCTGTCTCACCCTCAAGACTGCATCCTCTGCGTGTTAGGGTAACAATGCAAAACAAAGAATCTACAGCCTTGCTAGCAAATCTGTGAGGTTGTACTAAATGCTAGAGTTAGTTGCTGGTTTTACAGGTATTTGGTCATAAATGAGAAAGAAATTAGACCAATTCAAATTTTAATGTGATGATGGGATCATAAATGTTCGTTCTGACGTGACCAAACCTTGAGCCATGCTGCTAGCTAGGCGTATCCTTTAACAATAAAATCAGTTATAATTGTGAAAAAGTTTCCGATCTCTTCCAATCCAAGCTAAACTAAAACTAAAACTAGCAGTCCCATATGTGTACAACCCAACACATGGCCTACATGATCAAATATATTCAATATTCCACATGAATACTTGGGGACAATCACTGACTCTCTTGTACAGATACGACTGTAAAGTGTTCATGAGACATTTCTTAATGTATTTTATACACTAACCTTAACCCTTGCCAAAGGTTGTTAGTAACACAGCTTTGATAAATGGAAAATACAAAAAAACAGTTAATTGATATGACATTAAAACTACTGCTAATTAGTGATCAATTAATACTAAAACTATTTTTTCAGCTCAAGTTAATGCACACACACACACACACACACACACCATCCAATGCTTCTCTACTATATTTAGAATTGTTTCATACTAAGTGTTGTGTCATTAGATATTTTTTGCCCCTCGGGGATGACAAAACTCTCCGATTCTAGACCAATAAATCTCAAATACCGCCGCGCTCACATGTCCGAACCTCTGCTCTGTTCACCAGAAGCGACTGTCGTCATACAGTATGTTGCTTCACAGCCCTGGTTATGAAACAACGCCTCCAGGGGAGGTATGGCATTCCTCTTCCAGGAATCTACCTGCGTGCCAAGAGCACAGAGACGGCAAAACACACAATGTGCAGGCAAAGAACATTCCTCATTTCTGGGAGGCGATCCTCGCCTAGGTGTGCCCCACTCACCTGGATTCACAGAGACAACAGGAAACCATAACAACTGTTGCCAAGGAACACACCTATCAACACTGACTAGATACAGTAAGATGGATAAAATCAAAACGTCTCGAACCCACCAGCAGACTGCGGTTGCAAAAAACGAAACTATGAAAGCCCAAAAAGCTCTTTGGGGTTTTTCTGTGATCGTCAGTTGGAGGATTGTACCTGTGAGAAAAGAGTGAGTCATTTTTCTTATAATAGGAAGCTGACATCTCAATCTGTCTCTGTCTATCTATCTCTCTCTCACTCGCACACACAGACACAAAAGTAATCTCAACACCGCTGAACTCTTTGCCTGACACTGACAACATGTAGGTGTTGATGTTTCACAAAAGTGAAGCCATGAAAGGAGACACACACACACACACACACACACAATCACAGACACATACACTGTGACAGCTCTGGCACACCAGTCAGGCTGACGGGGCAGGTTAGGTGAGATCAGCGTGGGCTGGAGCGTGGTGGTGAGCTGGGTCAAACCAGGATCTGCTTGCCTAAATCTAGACCTCTTATTTACCTCAAGAGTGTGTGCGCAATCACTTGATCGGTTTAAAGCAGGTGATGAGCGAAATTACAAGTTGAGAAAATTGGATGTTAGAAACAGTTTGGTGTTTTAATTACAAAGCCAGCCAAGCCTCTCGTCCTCCTCACATCCAGTACAGCAATGTAGCTGCCACGCATGCTTTGAGGCCGTTTGTGTAACTGTTCCAGGTGCTGCTGGTGTATTGATTTACCAGGTAGTAGTGTGCATGTGTGTACACAGACACACACACGCGAGGTCAAGGACCTGTTATAATAGCTGCTCCACTCACACAGCCTGTGAGATTCAAGATATGAACTGGGGGATTATAAACTGGTTGACTGGACAATCAGCTTGCTGGTACATTGGATCATGATATCGATGTGGTATCAATGTGTGAAGGAGAGCCAAGTTAGTTCAGATGATTCAGAGACAGATCTGGTATCCAGTTCTACCAGTTCAACCAAACACTTAAGAGATTTTCATATATGAGGCTGGAATCATGCAATAGAAAAACCAACGGTTGGATGGAAAAGTCTGGAAAAAACAACAACATTATATTAAGTAGCAGCAATTTGTTTTATTGTGTTTCCTGTTGTCCTATCCTAATCATCTCATCACCCCTCACAACTCACTTGTGACCCCTTGCAGGGGTCCTAAAACCCAGTTTGGGAGCCACTGCTAACAAATACAAGTAGAACACAAATATTACACATCACTAAGAGACGAGTGTTACAGTGGCAACACAGCAGTTATGGTTGTAACATAAGGTGCTATATAGATATTGTAAGGTCCCTGAATCAATACCGATCCACAAGGACACAATAACATCTCTAAAGAACTAAGACACTAATTACTCTACACTATCTTATCTACATGGGGTTATTGTAGGGCTGCAGATATCATTAAGAAGTCACTGTAAACCACCACACAGTCCCATATAATAGGACTCTATTAGTAGCATCATATGTGTGAACAGTATGACTTTCAATAAGCACAATATGAAAGCACTGTTGTGTTCAAGCTGCGTTACAATTCTCCATTTTATCAGCTTTATCTTCACTGTATAGGTGCTACTGCCCATATGGGACCCCCCCCACACACACACACCCCCAGTCCCCCTGTACTGTCAACATGCCTGCTGGCTGCATCCACAATAACATGACAGCGCAGACCAGCCTGCGCCAACAGCACACGGATAAAAGCTGTGAAGACACGGGCAGCATGTTAAAATGCGCCTCGAAGGATGCGCATTTAAACACAAGTGCCCCACAGAAATCCGCCGGAGCAGATATAAGTTGACACATATTACTACACGGGCCCACACCGTCAGCCTGCATGCAGCTCTACTTACCACACAGGGACCTGAAGCAGCGGCAGCCGTCCTATCTGCTCCCTCTAAACCCGCGGGAGTGTGCGGGGGCTCCGCGCGGTGAGCTGCGGGTTTTAACGGGGCTGAAACGGTCCCGCGTTCAGTGTGACAGTCGGTACCGACTGAGTGGCTGACAGCGAGCGGACGACGATGAATCCAACGAGTCCCCGTGTAAGTCTGTCACACTGTCAACTCAGCCTCCTCGTTCAGCTCCCCCTCTCGCGCGTTCAGCTGCGTCAAACACACACAGGTAGCGGGCGGACACAGGAAGTGTCGCTTTCAGAATAAAAGCACGGTCCTCTGTTAGCGCCAGTGGAAAGGTTCAACTATGAAACAGGTCTATTTCAGTCAGTTAAAAACAATAAAAACTGATCTTATTGTTTTTACAAGTTTTATTAAAATATGAATGATATAGGCCTAAAAAATAATTTAATATGTAACATGGACCTTTTGCTTTTGTATTTACACTTTTTTCCTCAGCTATTAGTCATTCCTTTTTGGACTTGAGAAAACCCCTTAAATGAAAATTAACTGTTAGTCAGTGCACTTGCATGTGAGCATTTTTATCATTCTCAAATATTACAACTTTGGGGAAGTTGAACAGAATTCACTTCATTGCGAGAGTTCACATTTGATTGGTTACATTTATGTATTTGCTCCATCAATCAATGAGTCATCAAACATATTTAATGAGTCATCAAACATATTGAATGCTTTAGAGGAAGAGAAAAGTGGTGTATTTAAATATGAAAACTCTCAAAACGTTTTTAACATTTATTTGGCATATACCAAGAGATAAATGAACAACTGACACAGAGACACACAGATGTCTTTAAGAACAGCTAAGAGAAAGACCTAACTTCAAAACTGTGAATAACAAACCACTTACATGTGCTAATATCAGTATATACAGCAAATATAAGCAATGGGCTCAATATATAGGGTTTTTACCAACATAAACATAAAGATCAGTCTCACTCGTTATGGATATTTATTTTGAAGGGACCGGGGAACTGTTTTCCGGTGTGGTTACTTGTGAATGACACCTTTATCATCACTGCGCATCGGTACCATTCATCTTGACGTCAGAACTACGCTCAGAGAAAAGCATGATAATAACAGAAAATGTACTTTATTGATCTGTGCTCATGTTTGGACCCTGACTCAATCCATTCAGATGAACTGTGGGCGGCAAACACACACTGATTCATTACATGACCCCGGCTACAGAAGAACAAAGGGTCATTATCAGCTTTTATACTACTATATAATATCCAAGCAAGCAGTCATTCAGACCAATAAGTCAGTTGCCCCCCCCAGGCCTCCCTCACCTCTCACTCACCCATCCTGCCAGGGAGGAATCCGGTGCCTGCTGTGTGCTGGTGTGAGGGGAGGTGTGTTGGCATGAACTGTGTGTCCCTGTTCTCTGCACTGAACCGGCTGGGCAATGTTCAAGTGAGTTATGTAATATTTACAAGCTCCTCTCTGAGATTTTAAGTAGAACCTGTTTGGCTGGTGACAGGATCTCCACACTGATTCACCTCAGACAGGACTGGGCTGCAGGAGGCCTGTGCTCTATGGGAAGATGTGGTATGTGTTGCCATTGGTGGCAGGCTGCACTGTGCTGTGGTTGAGTGATGCAAGTTCAATGTGATAATTATTAATGGCCTACCATCGGCTGCAAACAGTTCACTCTTGTGTATAATCTATAGAGGATTTAGCATTGCAGAATTAAGCTTCATGCATCTGAAAGGGTATTACCTTGGTTTTATGCTTTTTTTTAAGTAAGTCAAAATAAAGACAAAGAGGTCAAGGTCCACTATTAGCTGGCACTGCCATCTAGTGGAGACAAGGATTCTTAGCACAAAACAAACATCTTATTTTGCCCGATGTTTAGCTTTCTATATGAATTTCACACACTCATCAAGGCCAGTTTAGTGGGCTGTACATTAATCCTAAATCCTGATCAACTGAGTCATAGACTGGATTATCGGGAGAAAAGTAGGAAACACAATACGTCAGTATTAAAGTTGATGTAAGTCAGGAAATCTTAAGAGAGATTTAACTTACAGTGCTGAACAACTAATCCTCAGTTTTTTGCTCCTCTTACTGTTGTGAAAGCTTTAAGTAAAGCCCTATTGGCCCACTTTCAAATTTGTCAAAATGCTAAAAGGGAACCTCTTACTATTTTCCCCCCACATTTAGACCAAGTCCATATCAAAAACCACTTTACCTAGACATGTCAATGATTACCCCAAAGAGGCCAGAGACTCTTTAAAACACAGTCTCTGATTTGTGAAACCTTTATTCTATTTGTGAAAATGCAAAGATGTTGCAATATTTCTCTGCTTTTTCGCCAGCATTTAGACCACATTGGACTAGGTCCAGATCAAAACCCACTATAGATATGGGGGAAAAAACTTACATTTTACTTCTTTTTTTAATTGTCACAAATAGAACAAAGGTTTCACAAATCTGAAACTGCTTTAAAGAGTCTCTGGCTTCTCCGGGGTCAAGTCTAGTATGGTGGTTTTTGATCTGAACCTGGTCCAATGTGGTCTAAATGTGGGGGGAAAGAGTAAAATCTCCCCTTTTAGCATTTTGACTGGTAGAATAAAGTTTTCACAAATTTGAAAGTGTTGTTTTTCTTGTCTCAGTGCACTTCAATCGATGTCTATCTGACTTAAAGTTTCAGCTATCTGACTAGAATGAGACCACAAACTCCCACTGAAGGTCCACAGCATGGTGACACAGACTCACAGAAAGCAAAGAGAACTGACCGTTTCATTCCACGTGCAAGATTGATGTGCATCAACACAGGTTACAATCAAACCGAGTTTTCCCGGGATACAACTGACTAGAATCACTAGTATATATAATAGAGTGATTTTCTTTCCCAACTCTCCCTGAGACAGTCTTGGTCTTTGGGATGTGCTGAGCTCACGGCACAATGAATAACAACTCTCCTAACTAGTGTGAGACAACCAGTGTGAATACATGAGGATGAACATACATGAACATAAAATATTATACTGTAAGCCTGTAAAATTAAACATAGAATAACACAACATAATATAGTTTGCTTCATGTTCACAGAACCTTATCCCTGAATGCATTTTCCCACTACCAAAGTGGGTTTCAGACAGCGTTGAGGCTTTACCTAAAGCTTTTACAGCAGCAAGAGGAACAACAAACGGAGGATCGGTAGCTCAGCACTGTAAGTTAAGTCTCCCTGAAGTTTCTGCTGAATGAGAAGCCAATAGAGATGGGATTAACGGCTCTTTGAAGGGAGCCAGATCTTGTGGAGCCGTTCCTTTCAAAGAGGTGTTCAAAAGACTGGCTAATTTTTATATTTATTTATTTTTAAGAAGCCAGCCTGGGGGTAACTCATTTTATCCGGGAAATAATCCCTGGGAGGAATGATAGGGTAAGATTTGAATCAGAATCATTCCAACTCAGATATCCCACCAATATATATTCTATTGGTGGGATATCTGAGATTGAGTTATTCTGAAATATAGATTATAATTTTATTTGGCATGTGTGGACTAGATTTTAATGTCTGATCTGATTCATTGTAAAACACTCGACAATGTGGCCACATCTCTCTGCTGACAGTGAGATCACTGTTTTGGATTAACCATTTGTATAAAATATGAATGTTTAATCTTCACTTGTTATTTGTGGAACACCTAAAAAACTTTGCGGCACAATAAAAAACTAAGCAGGCTACAATTAACTTAGATGCAAAACAGCTTTTAGTGCAGAAATGTCCACAAACAAGGACATTAAAAAAAGAACAGCTCCCAACTGCGATTCGGTTCCTCACTGCACTATGTATTTAAAGTTAGTCATTTTTAAGATGTTCTATTAAACAAGAGTTTCTAAGTGTACTGAGGGAGAACTATTTTTTAGCTGAGCGTGATCTGAGCCAATGGTGGACGAGAACCTTTCCTACGTGACACTCGTGTAATTCCCTCAATGTAAAAACATCAATACTCACACTGGAAAAAAACAAAAAAACGGTCCCAAACATTAAAATATATCTGGAAGACTATTCAATTAGAAAAGATTAAATATGCTTCAAAACATTACATCTTATTTGGAGACAATCTACACTTATATAGTATTACGTAAATGTTCAGATACATGTAAATTGGGAGGGTTAGTAATATTAACTTTTTTTCCTTGCCCCAGTTTATTTCATTACTCTTCCTGTTATTAAACTTACTGATTGAGTGCCTGTGGATACTTTAACAGCTTCTACAGATTCATTATTATTAAACAGAGCAGTAACTGACCCACCAACTACTTACTCTACTTTCAAACAGAACGGTTACAGATCAGGTTGAAGTGCTTGGCCCCCTGGATGAAACATGACCAACTTCAGACTACATTCAGTATTCTGCAGGTGCAGGCCAAGCCACAGTCAAGATCATTTCACCTTTTTATTTGGCATAAGATATGTTAACTGACACCAGAGATGATAAAAGGAGAAGACACAGATGAACAATTGAACAAGAGATTTATTTTGTGAAAACTTTTCACTTCTTTGCTGCCTCCTTCTGGAGCTTCTTCACCTCGTGCTTGATGATCTTGTTCCTCTGTAGAAACAAAGAGAATAAGTGCATTAATTAACAATACTCATTGAATGCTCTAAGAACGCCACACTTTACGCTTAGGAAACACTTAATAGTACATACAGTGGACTTCTGATTCAGTACATTCAACGGTGTTAACGTGATGTGTTTTAGTACAGTGCTCTCCATTTTAATATACGCACAAACAGATTGAGAGCAGTGTGGTTACGTAAATATCCAACAGTCCAGGGAACAGAAATAAAGCAAAATGTTGTCAATTAAGCTTATAAAGAGGCAATTATCTACAGGGTTTCAGCAGGTACCAACAGGTTAAATTTAAGACCATTATGAATACAATTTAAGACCCATTTTATCGCCATACTGGCAAAAAAGTACAAAGGATATGAAGTGAAACCAGTACTGGTTCCATTTTGTAGTTGTTACAGCATTAATATAATTCTTTCCAAAGACTGAAAATTAACATTAACTATTAATCAACACAACTTTAAGATCTGACTAAATCATATTTAAGACAATGTTAGGTCCAAAAACGATCATTAGATTTTAGACTTTTTAAAAAGACTATCTACAAAACATATTCAACAATTAAAATAGTTATAACCTTAATATCAACAGGAAAGAGGAGTAAAC